CACGCGTCACACACCCCGGCAGCCCGCACGGCCGGCAGCGAATCAGGCAGTTCACACGCAGCAGGTCTGAGGGCATTTCCCAAACCTGAGAAGGGTGCGTAGGTGACTGCCTGCTGGGACAGCCGAGGGCATCTTAGTCTACGTGTTATTGCCTCCTACTGGCCGAACACCTGAACAGCCGTAGGCAAATTTTTCTAACCTGACAACACCTCTGTATACTAAACCTTGTCTTTGATATGTGTATCTGCTTTAGGACAATCTGTGTTAATGACAATCAAGGGTCCAGAGAGACAGGAGAACTTGGTTCCTTTAGCTAAGTCTTCTCTGGCTCCCCAAAATGCCTTCCAAAATTATGTTTTGTCTCTGGACTCTAGTCATTTACACACAGCCCTCCTCCAGACTCCTGAACCCTTCTAGATGCCGAGAAACACCACCGGCACCACACGACCCCAGCATCACACAGGGCCACGGCGGCACACAGGACCACGGAGTCACGCAGGGCCACGGCGGCACACAGGGCCACGGCGAAAGGAAGGGCCACACGCCCCTCCTACTTTGGGCTGGAAGTCTCCTCTCACCGGATCCTGGCCTGTGTCGGTGGCAGTGTTTTTGGTTCGTAAGGAGGTGAAGCCCATGCCAGGCCCACGGGGTCCCTGGAAGGCCACCGGCCTGTGACCTCAGCTCCACCCAAGGCCCCAGGTCCGGCCCTGCCCACCCAGTGACGTGGGGAGACGGGCCCCCCACTGAGGATGGGTGAGCTTTGCTGCTGTCCTCTCAGGCCCTTGGCCACGACCCCAGTCCCTGCACCCACGTACTGGGCCCCTCAATGCCAGGTGCCAGCCCTGACCTGGGTCCGCCTAGCCTCAACTTGAAAAGGGGGCACAACCTGGGCCACAACCAGGGCTGCGAGGCACCCCACCCCGCGGGCCCCGGGGCAGCGGGACGTGCAGGAGGGGCCTGGCGAGGAGGAAGGACGGGAGACAGCGGCAGACACAGCCTAAGGCCCAGCTACCCAAGGCAGAGCGGGCGGCGGAGCGGGAGGCGGAGCGGGAGGCGGAGGGCTGCACAGACCCTCCAGGCCGGCTGGAAGCAGAGTATCCGACCGGCCAGATGTTTGGGAGGAACATGAGGCCACGCCCTACCTCCCACCAAACACACACACTCCAGGTGAAAGCGGCGTGAGCGAACGCCATGGACACCAGCGCCACTCTGCCCGCCTCGGGCCTCCCTCCTGGAACCCAGGTAGGCACCTTAGCGACCCCACCTCACAGGAAAGGCCGTCTCCACGTGGCTGCCAGCCTCCAACCTTCCCCGCTCCCCCGCAGGCCCTGGGCTCTGGCCACGCGGCCTCCATCGCCCTCACCAAGCCCAGCCGGCCCTGCTCACACCTCCCCGGCTCCCCTGCCACTTCCCGTCCTCACCGCCCTCGCCACCCGCCCAGCCCTCGGTGACCAACACATGGCATTCACTGCATAGCGTCGAGCCCCCCATGGGACCGAGTGCCCCACGCAAGCGCCCCCAAACCCCAGGGCTGCTGAAGGGTCCAGGCACCTATGGCAGGCAGTCGGCACTCGAGAGATGTCTGTCAAAGCAACTAATGAGTCCTGCATGACACAAGTCATCCCAGAGCCAAGAGGACACGCTGAGCGAAGGGAACGGACTGGCCACGGGCAGAGTCCAGCCCGACACCCGACAGGTCCACCCGGGCGGGAAAGCCCACTCCCAGAAGCAGACCACCCACACACTGGGGGACACTCGGGAGGGACCACAGTCACCCCACCTACCCGGCCCCTGGCCGCCTCACCTCGCCCTGGCGCCGCGTCCGGGGGGACGGACTGAAGAAGTTGTGCAGCACGGAGAGCTCCGAGCTGAAGAGCGCGCGCTCCTTCTCCAGGATGTACTGCTTCAGCAGCGGGGACACCTCGTCGCCAAAGAGCGCCTGGTTGTCCTGCCAGATCTGCCGCTTCACCTCCACGGCGCAGGCGCGGTACAGCTCCTTGTCGGCCATGACCAGCTTCAGCTTCTTCTCAGGGACCTGGGGACCACGCAGGTGCCGTGAGCAGCGCCGGGCCCAGCATCTGCTTCCAGGCAGGTCAGTGGGCCTCGCGCGGCTCAGGGGTTGAGCATCGACCTATGAACCAGGGGGTCACGGTTCGATTCCCAGTCAGGCACATGCCCGGTTCCAGGCTCAGTCCCCAGTGGGGGATGTGCAGGAGGCAGCTCATCCATGATTCTCTCTCATCATTGCTTTCCTATCTTTCTCTCCCTCTTCCTTCTACTCTGAAATCAATAAAAAATATGTGTTAAAAAAACAGATAGATCAAGAGGCCTCAGCACCAGGCCCCCTGGCGGGAACCTCCCGGCCAGGCTGCTGTGCTGACCTCTCGCTCTCACCTTGGGCAGGTGTTTCATGACGCACATCACGACCGGCTGCAGCGACGGCATCTTCACCAGAGAAAAGCTCTTCTCCAGCAGGTCTTCCAGCTTCTTGTACCTGGGAGACAGGGGGACTGAGAGCGGCGCAGGACCCAGTCGGCTGAAGGCACAGCATCCACAGGCGGGACCCGGGGGGGACAGTAACCGAGGGGACAGTAAGTGCTGCGGGCCGTCCCCTCAGAGGGCGCTGCACTGCCGCCTGCACCCACCTCTCCTCCGCCTTCCCCTCCGCGGCGATGGCCGACACTCGCTCCAGCAGCTTCTCCCGCAGCTCTTCCAACACGGACTGGTGGAACTCCAGGCGCGGCGTCCTGTGCAGGTCCAAGAAGGGCAGGGCCGACTGCAGGGAGGGCAGCAGCACGCCGTTCTCTGTCTGGGGAAGCAGAGGGTGGGCGCGGGGTCGATTCTGCTCACTCGGGGCGACACAGAAAGCACAGGGGCGGCCACGTCTGGCCAGGCCTCCGGACGCGCCGCCGAGGAGACGGAGGCAACGGCGAGGGTGTTCC